GGTTGTTGAGTTATAAGAACAAACAGACATACAGAGATTCATTGAATTATTAGTAAGATTATTTTCTGTTCCCCTTATGGTCTTGAAGCTGTCAGCAGCAGGTAGACGGCATGAAAGAGATCATCTTCCACAAGTGTAGCTATTTACTGAGCTGAACTGGTGGACAGTAGAAATGTTTTTCTCACCAAGATGACTTTGTGGAGTCAGATGTTCAGGTCACGCTGACAGATTGTCTGTTGTGTAGAAGCTCCCCTCATCAGTGGATTATAAAAACAAACATTAAATGTCTGCAGGTATGAGAGATGCCGATGAGACTAATCAATGGTTACAGTCAAACATCAGCTGAACCACAAACTGTGAAACAAGATGTTTCCTACCGTTCTATCATCAAATGAAATAAATATGAAGTAACAACTAGTTTTGTGATATCTGTCCTCAGCCTTTCTGACATTGAACTCTTAGAGTCTCACTGTGAAGTTGTGGCCTCAGCTCTGAAGTCCAACCCCTCCCATCTGAAACATCTGGAGCTGAGTGACAACAAAGAACTGAAGGATTCTGGAGTGAAGCATCTGTGTGGTTTTCTGGAGAATCCACACTGTAAACTGGAGACTCTGAGGTCAGACACCAAGTTCTAGTTTTGTGCTGAGATGGATCTGATGTAAAGTTGTGGTGACACTAAACTGCAGCCTTCAGGTTGATATTCTACTGATCCACACTGAGGATCTGTTGTCTTCTTCACTATCCACTGTCTGTTCTTTCACTGTGGCAGAGAAAAATTGAGCTGCAGATTTAAATCCTCAATAGACCAAGAAAAATAGTCCACTGAATAATTCACTGTGAGGCTGACAGAAGTACTCTGATACACTGACATTTTAACACCAAGCATTTAAGACCATTTGATTTCATGATTCTATTGATTCTGAAATAAAAGCTTGTCTCTGCTTCACATTTCCTCAAAAATCATTCTGGTGTATTTAGTGTTTTTATAATGTCGGGGTAAAAGAATGAAATAAATGTCATAGTGTTGTTCCTTGTGTTTGTTGCTCAGCATGAGTTTGTGTGGATGGAGCCACTGGTGGAGCTGCAGAGTTTCAGAGCTGAAGTCACTCTGTCTTTATTGAAGCAGCAGCATGTTGTCATTCATATTAATGAGAGCTCTTCTTCTCTGCTTCTGTTGGACTGTTTGAAGCTGCATCCTGTTGGCTTCAGCTGTTTGGAGTTTACATTTTATAAACTTGTACATTCTGGAGCTTCTTCAGCTCTGAACACATGATGAAGACTTTGTTCTCTTGACTTCCATCTTTTATTCTTTATTCAGATTG